GCTCTCTTCCATGTGTCCTGCAGCCCTGCCCCTGTTTCCTGCCTCGGGCTTTTTCTGGACAATCGGGTGGCTTTATCTGCCCCACAAATTTGTCATTTTTTAGCTCCTGTGCTAGCAGATGTTTATTTTGGCTGCTGCCTTCCTCATTTCCAAGAACTTCCCTTTGTCTGATTGTGCCTTCCGCCTAGCGCCCGTGCTGTGTGTTAGTGCGCCACTGATAAGGCCGGGCTGAGGGTTCCCTCTGCGCCTGATCACCCCACTTCCTCTCCGGGGCCTTTGTGTGCACTCAGCCGAGCCGGCGTGGGAGCCCAGACACGCACGGCTCTGGGTGGGTCCCAGGAGGCTGCTGAGTGGGCGGGCGAGTCTGCCTCGTCCTCCCTGGGAGTATGGTAAAACCCTGTCTCAGAGCCTGTGCAGGGACAGGGCCAGACAGTCTGGGACAGGCTGGGATAGAAGCAGGTGAACCTGTGACTTCTGCTTCCCTCTACCTCCACCCCCTCTCCCCCTGCCGCCTGCTCCTCCTCAGCCCGTCCTCCCCACTCTCCCCCCCCCCTCTCACCGCCCCCCCTCCCTCTCTCACCGCCCCCCTCCCTCTCTCACCGCCCCCTCCCTCTCTCACCGACCCCTCCCTCTCTCACCGCCCCCCTCCCTCTCATCAACCGCCCCCCCTCCCTCTCTCAACCGCCCCCCTCCTCTCTCACTTTCACCGCCCCCCCTCCCTCTCACCGGCCCACCCCCCTCCCTCTCTCACCGCCCCCCCTCCCTCTCTCACCGCCCCCCCCCCTCTCTCACCGCCCCCCTCCCTCTCTCACCGCCCCCCTCCCTCTCTCACCGCCCCCCCTCCCTCTCCCCCGCCCCCCCTCCCCCCCCCCCCCCCCCCCCCCTCTCTCACCCCCTCCCCCCCCGCCCCCCCTCCCTCTCTCACCGCCCCCCCTCCCTCTCTCACCGCCCCCCTCCCTCTCTCACCGCCCCCCTCCCTCTCTCACCGCCCCCCTCCCTCTCTCACCGCCCCCCTCCCTCTCTCACCGCCCCCCCCCCCCTCCCTCTCTCACCGCCCCCCCCCCCCCTCTCCCCCCCCCCCCCTCCCTCTCACCCCCCCCCCTCTCCCCGCCCCCCTCCCTCTCTCACCGCCCCCCTCCCTCTCTCACCGCCCCCCCTCCCTCTCTCACCGCCCCCCTCCCTCTCTCACTGCTCCCCCTCCCTCTCTCATTATCCCCCAGGTCCCAACAAGCCCAGGCCTCCCATTTAGCAGGCACCCTCCATGGGCCCAAGGCCAACAATAACAGCAGCCAGGGATAGAGCTGTCAGACACTGCGGTGGCTGAAACCGGTTTGGCTCAGTGGATAGAGCGTCGGCCTGTGGACTGAAGGGTCCCGGGTTGGATTCCAGTCAAGGGCATGTATTAATACCTTGGTTGCGGGCACATCCCCGGTGGAGGGTGTGCAAGAGGCAGCTGATTGATGACTCCCATCAATGTTTCGAACTATCTCTCTCCTTTCCTCTCTGTAAAAAATCAATAAAATATATTTTAAAAAAAGAGAAAGAAAGAAAGAAAGAACACTGCTGTGCATAGGGACTGCCATCAGCCCCCTTCCCTGGGGGAACTGAGGCAGGGGCCCTGAGATAGCTTGCCCAAGCTCACTGAAGGGAAACAAACTCGAGAAAACCTTTCCGATGCCCCCAGCCTGGCTGAGGACCCTGCTGACCCCGGCCGTCCCTCCCGCTCCCTCCCGTTTTACTCTTCCTTCAAATCTCGGGCTCCGGCAGGCACGGCTCCCCAGCCCTGTCCCGCCAAGGCCACGCGGTGCCTGTAGAAGCTCCTGCATGCTCCGCTGGGGCGCAGCTCCGTCACCCCCATCTGCCCTGCATCAGACCATTCCGGGACCATTTGTCACACACAGAAAAACGCGCCCTCACCCTGGCCCCCAGGGGCCCCTCCCCCACCTCCCATCACTGTCCCTGTTAATAGTGGTGTGAGCCCAGCTGGTGTGGCTCAGTGGTGGGTCCTCCACCTGTGAGCCAGGAGGTCACGGTTCGATTCCCGGGCACAGGCCTGGGCTGCAGCTCAGATCCCCAGTAGTGGGCGTGCGAGAGGCAGCTGATCAATGATTCTCTCTCATCATTGAGGCTCTCTCTGTCCTTCTCCCTCTCCCTCTCCTTTTCTCTCTGAATGAAAAAAAATAAATAAATAAAAAAAAAATATATAATATATATATATATATATATATACACACACACACACACACACACACACACTAGAAGCCCAGTGCATGAAATTCGTGCGAGGAGGGGGAGGTCCCCTCAGCCTGGCCTACCCATCTCGAAATCCAGGACCTCTGGTTCCTAACTGCTCACCTGCTTGCCTTCCTGATCACCCCTAACCACTCACCTGCCTGCCTGATTGCCCCTAACCGCTCAACTGCCCACCTGATTGCCCCTAACCGCTCACCTACCCACCTGATTACCCCTAACCCTCACCTGCCCGCCTGATCGCCCCTAACCCTCACCTGCCCGCCTGATCGCCCCTAACCGCTCACCTGCCTGCCTGATCGCCCCTAACCGCTCACCTGCCCGCCTGATCGCCCCTAACCCCCTCTGCCTCGGCCCCTGCCACAGCAGCTTTGTCCGGAAGGATGTTGGAATGATGTCTGGAAGGTCATTTGCTGTCCGGTCTAGTTAGCATATGATGCTCTTATTATTGTAGATATATATATACACACAAACAGTGGCCTAAGCTACATTCTCCTTGCTTTTCCTTGCCTTTGCACATACCCTCCAAACCAGGCAGTCTGGGCTCTCCCCTGTCCCGCTGGGGAGTCCTCGGGCACATCCGCGCTCGGTCAGCGGGAGCCCAGCCCGGCCTCCAGGAGCTCACTCCAGAGGGGAGAGGCCCGCGGCTGGGTGCTGGGCACGTCACCCCCAGGACAGAGCCCGTCCGTGGGGCTTTCCTGCAGCCAGGCCCTCCCCCCCAGCAGCTAGGGCCCCCCAAGTGGACAGGCACGGGGCCAGTGGCTGACAGAGGCGCAGCACTTCCTGAGCCCAGCGTGCAGTGCTCCGTTTCCAGCTCCTTGGATCCCAGAAGGACCGGGAAGCTGTTAACGCTGTCCTCCTCTCACAGACGAAGCCCAGGCTCAGGGCAGTTAGCCACCGCCCAGTCCCTCCGCGGTACTGTCCCCTCACCCCTCAGGGTCTCTCAGGCCCGGCTTATCTCCATTGGTCATCAGACCCCTCCCACAGCCCGGCAGGAAGCTGTGTTCACCAGGCCCGTTCCCACGGGCGGGCGGAGCAGAGAAGGGCCTGGGTGCCCGTGGCCTGGCCCAGGAGAGGGCGTCTGGCTGCGAAACTCGGTGGCCTCTGCTTGGCTCCTGTCACCACCCCGGGCCCAGGACGGCTGTGGTGTCCCGGCCGCCCAGCCGTCTGGCCCCCTGGGCTTGGGAGACAGATTGCTCAGGTTTGAAAGATCGTGGCAGGGTTCAGCGTCCCCTCTGAGCCTGTTTTGGGGTGTGAAACAGCCTCCTTACGGGGCTGTTAACATTAAGCGGGACGTTTGTACAAAGGACCTGCACCCGGTATACGCACCAGCCCCGCCCCTCCTCCCTGTTCAGCCCCCTCAGTGACGGCGCAGAGGGACGGCGGGTGGCACACCTGCCCTGGGAGAGCCACCAGAGGGCCTGCAGGAGTCGGGCAGAGGGAACGGAGTGGGAGTGTTGTGGGGTGGAGGTGGCAGGGGCATGGCTGGTCCCGGAAGGCCGGACGTCATCTCGCCACGCAGGGGGCTCCGTGATAGTGCGGGGGGGGGGGGGGGCGGCTCAGGTCTGGCGCTGCCGCCCCCGGGTTCTCACCTCAGCCTCCCCCCGTAGGCTGACGGTATCGCTGATGCCCCAACCTGGACCTCCCTCTGGACAGAAACGGGGCACATACTAGCGCTGGGACGCTCAGGGAGATGGTCTGAACATACAACTTCCCAACTAAAGGGAGTCACAGCTGTGGTCACATCCCGGGCCTGGAGTCCTTGACAGAGTTACCTAAGTGAGCCTGTCTATTGTCTTTTTGCATCTGAGATAACATACCTTCGAAATGTCAGAGAAATCTCCTTTTCACACCCTTCCGGGTGCTTACCCCCCCCCCCCCAGACCCCGGGCCCTCAGTCACCGCTCCGGCATGCCGCCTGTGTGTGCTCTGAATGCTCGTGTCCTGTGCCCTGACTGTGCCAGAGGATGTGTCCGTTTTACTGTTCACCCTATCCCAGGGGTCCCCCCCCCCCCCCGTTTCCTCTGCCCCCAAACCTCCTCGCACGGATCGTTTCCTGCCACCCTCAGGCTCCTCCTCTGGGGGGGTAAGCCTCGAACTGTCATTCTCGGGGCATTTTCTCCGTTTGTTGAGATTTTGCTTCCTGGCAATGAGCAGTTTGGCTCAAACAAACACATAAAAAATCACTACAGGTTTGGACGGTTTTTATGTCGACAGCACCCTCAGCTCCCTCCAGGTCACCCCAAATGAAAAGGGCAAACGGGCTCTCCGGCCACGCTGTTCCCCTCCCTGTGCCTCTGCCTCTCCCCCTGGGAGACCCTGGCCTGTCCTCCACAGCACCACCGGCTGCACTGCCCCCCCCTGGCGCTCAAGGGAACAGCTCCCTCCCAGCTCGTGCGGCCTCCCGGGTTCTGGGCAGAGGTTTGGAGACGCTTGCGCCCCCTGCTGGCCGGGCCTGGCCTTGCTGCCACCTTCCTGGGTGATCAGGAGCTGTGCTCACAGGGACAGGAGCTCTCAGGGCTACCAGCAGGGTAGAGCTGAGTGGGGAACACCCCACTTTTTGGGGAGCAGGGGGAGCTGGCCCTGTGGGTGATGGGGTCTGCAGAGGGGCAAAGCCAGCCTGCCCTCCCCAGGCCAGAGCCGCCCTGGCCCCGCAGTGCCGAGCTGGAGAGATGGCGGGGCCCTGGCAGGGCCTCAGGGTGGCTCCATCGGAGGGGGCCGCGCCCTGAGCCTCTTGCTTGGTCTTCCAGGGCCAGAGGACGAGCCTGCAGGTCCTGGAGGGCGTGGGCTTCCGCGTGGGCCAGGCCCTGGGCGAGAGGTGAGAGGGCCTCCTGCGCTCCCCCTGCGGGACCCGGGGCCGGGGTGCCCTGCTCCCCGCAGGAACCCCGCCCCCACACACGCCCGACTCGGTCTCTGCCGCCGCCCCAGGCTGCCCCGGGAGATGCTGGCCTTCAGGGAGGAGCTGGACGTCCTCAAGTTCCTGTGCAAAGACCTGTGGGGGGCCGTGTTCCAGAAGCAGATGGACAGCCTCCGCACCAACCACCAGGTGCGCCGCCCAGGCCCGGCTGCCGGCTCCCGAGGGACCTGTGCAGGGGGCGGGGGCCGGCTCGCCCCTGGGCAGCCCCCTCCGGGGGAGGCCGCCTCGGGCGGGAGCCTCCAGGACGGCCCCGAGCTGGCAGGGCCTCGGGGCTGCCTCGCGGGACGCTGCTGTCAGCCTGGTCCGCGTCCCCATCCTCCACCTGCCGGCCACTCCTCAGACCGGGCCAAAGGGCAGGGCCCGCGCCTGGGGGCTCCCCTGCAGCCTGAGGGAAGGGCTGTGACCGCCATGTTGTTTATATTTCCGGTCTCACCCGAGGACACTGCCATTGGTTGTTACAGAGGGGGAGGGAGAGAGAGAAGCATCAATCAGTTGCCTCCTGCATGGGCCCCAATTAGCTCGGGGCTGGGGTTTAGGTATGTGCCCTGAATTGACCTTTCGGTGCAGGGGGCGACGCCAACCATTGAGCAACACTGGCCAGGGCTACGTGGTGTTGAGGAGGGCATCCTGCCCGAGTCCTGGCTCCCCGCCCCCCACTGCGAAAGCCCAGGCCCCGCCTGAGCCCTCAGCCTCTCTGTCCGCAGGGCACCTACATCCTCCAGGACAGCAGCTTCCCCCTGCTCGTCCACGTGGGCTCAGGCCTGCAGTACCTGGAGGAAGCACCCAAGGTAAGGGGGTGCTGGGACACGCCCCGGTTCGCCTCTCCGACTTACCCTCCCCTCCCCCAGGGGGCCTCTCCCAGCCGAGGGGCTGACCCCACGGTGAAGCCCGAGGCCCGTCCCGGCCCGGTCCTGGGTGTCGGCCTCCCCTTTCCCACCCTGACCTGTGCCCCCGCCCCCAGTTCCTGGCCTTCACCTGCGGCCTCCTGCGCGGCACCCTCAGCACCCTGGGCATCAAGAGCCTGGTCTCCGCCTCCGTGGCAGCCCTGCCCGCCTGTGAGTCGTGGGGGTGGGGGGACCTGCCCTCCCTGGGGTGGCGGGGGCTCCAGAGCTCCCTGTCCCCGCTCCCGAGCCCAGGCCACTGAGCCCCGTTTAGGGCATTTGAGACCCCAAGAGCTTACGCACGTGCCAGCACCCTCCCTGCCCTCCCTCCCCGAGGTGCTTCCCTCTGCCAGGCTCCCGGGCCCATCCGCGGGGGCCCGGGGCCCAGGTGGTTAGCGCCTGAGCAGTGCATGCCTCGAAAGCCTGCCGGGCCCTTCCCTGCACCTGACCTCCGTGCCAGGCACCCGCCCGGGAGGCAGGCCGGGGGCGGAGCGAGGCCGCCCACTCGGCTGGCGGTTCGGATGCTTCTGCCTCGCCCTCAGGTCCTGCTAACGCCAGCCCTTCTCTCCCAGGCAAGTTCCAGGTGGTGATCGAGCGATCCTGAGCCCGCCCGGCCCAGGAATCCCGGACTCGGGGCCATGAGCATGGCAGGGCCCAGCCACTTCAGGGTGTCACACCTGCCCCCCAAAATGGAGGTCACAGGAGGTGGGGCGCCCCGGGCAGCGTGGTCCCGGCCGCCCTCAGGCCTGGTGTGGTGGGATCCGCCGGACGCTCACTCTGCAGGCGCTCAATAAAGGCCCCGGTGTGCAGACAAGTTCGCGTGGATGACGGGGGCACTCTGAGCTCGGGGGGTGGGGTCTGTAAAGGGACTGTCACGGGGCCTGGGCAGGAGGGGGCAGAGCACCTGTCTTTCTGGGGCCCCATCCTCTGGGCCTGAGTCCTGGAGCCTTCGCACCTGTTCTGGGGGGGTGGCCCACAGCATGGGCCTCTCCCTGGGGTGCGGGGCCGGGGGTGCCCTGAGGGCAGGTGGCCGAGGGAGGGTGGATGCAGGTGGGGACGGGCCAGACACCCTTATCCCGCCCCCCAAACCCCCTCCCCCCACACACACACACTGTACACACTTCACATGCCTGGCAGACACGAGTCATACCCAGGACAGTGCCCCCTGCCCACCCCTCTCCCACTCACACCCATAACGTCTGCAGCATCAGGCTCCTGGCTTCCTCGGGCACTGCCACCTGCTGCCCAGAGTGTAAGTCCCTCCACCTCAGAGCTGCCCACCATGGCCGGGGTGAGACCAGGTGGTTTAAAACCAGGCCCCTGCCGAACCGGTTTGGCTCAGTGGATAGACCATCGGCAGGTCCCGGGTTCGATTCGGGTCAAGGGCATGCACCTTGGTTGCAGGCACATCCCCAGTAGGGGATATGCAGGAGGCGGCTGATCTAACCATCTCCCTTCCTCTCTGTAGAAAAATCAATAAAATATATGTAAAACAAAACAAAAGCAGGCCCCTCCGCCCTGCAGGTTCAGTCCAGGCACTGGCCCTGCGTGGCCGGCCCTCCCCAGGCCACACGCTGTGTGAGGGCGGCATTGCCTGGCCTGCCTCTGCCCTGCACATGCCATTCCCTGCCCGGCTGCCCTGCCCTCTGCCAGCTCCTGTCCCTCTGAGTCTCCACAGTCACCCAGCCGCTTGGAGCTGCCGCCCTGCCCCTCCTGGCAGAGTCCCGTGTTTACCTGTTCCCGGGCCCTCCGCCCGCCCGGGGCCCTGCCCAGCTCAGAGCCGGCAGATGCTCCTGCGTGAATCACAATTACTCAGCTAAGCCCTGTGTGCGGGCCCGGGACAGGGACTGGCCCAGCCCTGCCTCTAAGCTCAGGGGCCACCCTGGAGCTCCCACACACACCCACCCCTATCGGGACCGAGTCCAGAGCTGGCGGAGGACAGGGAGGAAGCCCTCCCCGAACGCCCTCCCCGGAGAAGCAGCGTGGAGGGCGGTGGGGGGGGGGGAGAGCCAGGCACAGGCATCCTCTGTCCTGAACACCCCTCTGCCCTCCTGGGTGCTGCTGTGGCTGCCTGCCCCGCCCCATCAGACCACCCATCTCCCCAGGCAGCCCCTGTTTGGCGTGTGGGGGGCAGAGGGCACCCATGGTATCGGCCCCTCTGGTCGGGCCCCGGCCCCGCCCTCACCTCAGGAAGGATGTCTTAAAGCACATGTGTCAAACACAAGGCCCGCGGGCCAAATCCGTCCCACCAGGCCTTGCAATGTGGCCCGCACCGCGCTGTCATCACTGCACTCCGCTGCGTTTCCATCACAATGACAGTTTATGACTGTTCAGTAAACCATTCGGCCCGCGATTTAGGCTGGATTTTAGATTTTGGCCCCTTCTCTGAGTTCGACACCCCTATCTTAAAGGGACCCCACCTGTCAGGAGGCAGATCCTGACCACAAACCACTGATCCCGCTTTCACAGCCCCACCCTCCCACAGGGGACCACAGAGCACCCCCCTCGGGGCCGATGAGGAAGCACGGCTGGTGTATGACAAGCATGCCCGCCAGGGCCCCTGGTCGGCCGCGGCGTGTCGTCATTATATGAGAAGCATTCGGAGCAGCTGGTAACTGGGTCAGGCAGTCCCCGCATGTTCGCTGCTGGCGCTGCTCATCCCACGCCCGGCTCCGGGGCTCCCTGACAACACGCCGAGTGGCAGGACGGCCCGTCAGCAATGAGGAAGTCAGCGGCCCAGGTCACACAGCTGGGCCCCCAGGGACTGGCATCCGAGCCGGGATTGGAACCCAGGATTGCGTCCCGGCCGGCCCGGCCCGGCCCTGCCCCGCCTCCCCCCCTCCCACGGGAGAAGTGCTGGGGCCCGGCCGTCACAGACCCCGTCAGGTCCCACCCGGGCGGCACCGCGCCGGTCACCTGTCCTGAGCTCAGGTAGGGTGCAGGGCAGGCCCCCCAGTCCTGGAGAGCAGAGGGCGCCTGGCAAGCTGGGGAGACGGGGAGGGGACTGGGCGGGCAAACCGGTCGGTCAGGCAGCTCAGCTCGGCACCCGGGCCTCACCAGTTGGGCCTGTGCTGGCGGCGGGGGAGCCGGGGCCTCAGGACCAAGGCAGCAACCAGGTACGGGGACCCCGGGCTGGGGGGCAGTGGGCAGGGGCCACATGCCTGGCCCCCAGCCCTCACTGAGCCCCAACTCCCACCACCCCGATTTCTTACCACTTCACCTGTCCTCCCCCCTCTCCCCCACCCTCATCCCTCCCTCCCTTCCTCCTGTCTTTGGTGCCTAATGTGTTAAACCCAGGCAGCCCGTCACCCTGTTTGCTGAGCCTCTCTCCCAATGGAACCCCTACTTTCATCTGCTCCCCCAGAATTCCCCTCCCTCCAGCTGCCCATTCAGGCTCCAAATGGACCAGCCCTGAGATTCAGCCATCGGATGCCCCGTGGCCCCCGCCCCCAGTGCCCTGGGCCCACTGTGCCCTTCAGACAGCGCCAGCCTGGCTTCCACAGCGCATCCCCCGATGCCCCGTTCCCCTGGTTTTATCACCACCCCCAGCCCCGCTCCCCCAGCCCACACCTCAGCACCCCATCGTCCTGGGCTCTTGAGAACTCCCACCGATCCCTGGGCCCCTGAGGATCTCACCCACCCACATCAGCCCCACGCCCCCTCAGCCCCCTCAGCCCCCGCACCTCCCCCCGTGGCTGGCCATCCCTCCCGGGGCCTGACCTCACTTTTACTCTGGGAGCCAACACCAGGCTGGGGTCTCCGTCCCAGGTCCCAGGCGCGGTCCTGGAGGTGGGCTCCTGCCGCTGCCACGGGGGCTGGGCCCCGAGGCCGTCCCCGGCGAGCAGCCCGGCCGCCATGCACCAGCACTACACCGTCCACTCCGCCAAGGGCGCCCGGCCCCCCCGGCCCCCCGCCGACAGCAGCTTCCTGGACCCGGAGCTGGGGCACCAAAAAGGTAGGGGTACCATGTGGGGAGTCCTGGGAGTGGGGGCTGCCGAGTGGATGGCGGGGCAGACGCTCAGGCCCCAGAAGGGAAGCCACCAGAACCCCTCGGATATGGGCCATCGAGGGCTGGGGCCGTGGGGGGCGGGGAGCAACCACAGACCCGGTGGCCAAAGCTGGGAGCCCCACTGGCCTGCCCCTTCCCCGGTGGGAGCAGCTCCAGGCTGTGGGGACGGGCCCTAACCTGGGGGAGCGGCCCCACTGACTGAGGTTATCCGGCAGAGTGTATGAACCAGGTGGGGGCCCCTTCCCGCCAGCCCCGGTTGGAGCCTGGGTGACGCCCGGCCCCCTCCACCCCCATCCTGCCCTGTCCCCTCTCCACGGCCGCCTCCATCACGCTGGCCTCTGGACCAGCCAGGCCCGTTCCCCATGGATTCCTCTGTCACCCCACGGGGGGCCCCAGGGACCAAGCAATGTGGGGTGGCGGGGACTCCGGGTGTCATCCCCTCTCCAGCCCCTCGCCCAGTCAGAGCCCAGGCCCTGCACCTCGCCCCCCACTCCTGGGGGCACAGGGCCCACCCCTCCCCGTCCCTCAGAGTCCGGGCAGGAGCTGAGAATCAGCCCCAGCCTCCGTCTGAAACCCCGCCCGGCTCCTGCCATGGCCCCGGGAGTCGGGCCCCAGGCCCAGTCACCCCCACTTCCTCCCTTCCAGGATGCTGCCGGCAGTGGTGCCAGGAACCAGCGGCCCCTCCAGCCCTCAGGCCCTGCCAGCTGTCCCCCCAGGTGCAGTGGCAGCTCGTCTACCGCAGCCACCCGGGGGGCGTCGGGGGCTGTCGCCGGGGCCCCCAGCCCCCTGTCCTGCAGCAGCAGCAGCAGCAGCGGCAGCGGCAGCCCCCGCCCGCACCTGCTAGCCCCCTGCGGCAGCGCCTCTGCCCCGTTCCTGGTGCCCAGAAGGGATCACCTACAACCACGGCCCCCCTGGGACCGGCCTGCGCCCCCCAGCTGCCCCCTGCACCCGCCGTGGCCAGCAGCGGCCCCGGCCTGCCCTCCGCAGCCAGCACCGACGCCGGGGCCCTGCCGCCCCCCGCAGCCTGCGGCCCCTTCACCTCCTACAGCTCCGGTGCTCACCCCGTGCTCACCCCGTCCCCCGAGGGCTGCCCCTGCTGCCTCCCTTCCCCCCGCCTGGGCCTGGGCTGCCCCCCTCCCTCCCTCTGGTCCCGTCTGAGGGTGCTGGTCCCTGACGCTGGCCTCGGCGGCCACTCTGCTGCAACTGCTGGGATCAAGGCTTCCGGGCAGGGCCTGTCCCTGGTGCCCCATCCCGGGCTGCCAGGGGCCTGGGCTGACTCCCTCGCTGACTCCCGGGCTCTGCTTTCTGTCTCACTGGCCCTCCCTCCGCCGGCCCAACAGGCCACGGGGATGTGTGGCAGGTGGTGAGCACCTCGCTGGCCAGCTCTGTGCGGGGAGGTGGTCAACGGGCAGCTGCAGCAAGAGGTAGGGAGAGGGGTGGAGAGAGCAGTGCAGCGATGGGAGGGTCCATCCATCCATCCACCCATCCATTCACTCATCCATCCATCCACTCATCCATCCATCCACTCATCCATCCATCCATTCACTCATCCATCCATTCACTCATCCATCCATTCACTCATCCATCCATCCATCCATCCATCCATCCATCCATTCACTCATCCATCCATCCATCCATCCATCCATTCACTCATCCATCCATTCACTCATCCATCCATCCATCCATCCATCCATCCATTCACTCATCCATCCATCCATCCATCCATCCATTCACTCATCCATCCATTCACTCATCCATCCATCCATCCATCCATCCACCCACCCATTCATTCACTCATCCATCCATTCACTCATC